CCCCAAAACCCCAAAACCCCAAAACCCCAAAACCCCAAATCAGGTTACATGCATTGAAAAATACATGATTACATCAACAATCTTATTCTATTCTTAAATTGCTTTAAAATACTACTATCATTTTTGGAGGAAAATTGCTACCAATTCGGATACAAAAAGTCGTCCCAAAACAGCCATTTTAGCTATATCCCGAGCCTGTTCTAGGCGGATTGACTAAGAAGAGGTGTTTAGGGTGAACTAGGGCAGTTACTTTAAGTGTCAAATGTTTTGGAAATAAAGAAAATCCTGTTTAAAAATATTCTACTCAAGCTAGAAACAAGATTTTGGAGAAATATCGTGTAACCATGAACTTATAAAATTATAATGTCTTGCCTAATGGCAAAAACAGCTGTTTTGGTCTTCGTATTTTCTGCAAGGCTTAATTAAGCCCATTTCCTGAAGTTTTGCATAAAGTATCTTTTTACTCCTGCCAATACTAACAGTGCTCATATCCTTAGCAAGTAAGACTGGGAAGGTACGCCTAACTTTAGGAGTTCTATTTTCTTCCATCAAGCTGATCGGAGTCCCAATCGGACCGTCTCTGATTAGCGACCTCCTATCTCTTCCTTCTACATAGTTGTTAGAATTTTCGTCAGAGGCTACAGCACTCTGTACAGACTGAAGGAAAGAGCTTAAATTATTCGGAATAAGCTTTGAATTGACCTGAATCTCGTTGCCTTTCTCAGTATTCTCAATTTCAATACCTTCCTTGATGCCAAAGTCGCAACTGAGCTCGCTAACATCTACAGACACGCTGTGAGAATCAACAGTAGATCCTTCAAAGTTGATAATAGCTGGCTTCTTAGATTCCTTTGGGCTAACAGAGGTCTCTGGTTCTCTCTTATATGACCGAAACCTAAGTGGCACCACTGGTTGATCCTCCTTTGAATTATCCAACTCGCAGTAACATGAAACATTGCCCATTTTTCAGAATAAATTAAATGTTAAATAAACGTCAAGATTAATAAAAATGAAAGGGGTTTTGGGGTTTTGGGGTTTTGGGGTTTTGGGGTTTTGGGGTTTTGGGGTTTTGGGG